AGTGTCAAAGTAAAACTAAAAAGCATTAAAATGAAAACGAAATGAAAAATTATTTATTATCCTGTCAACCAGAAGCAATCATGATTACCTTTGGTCATTCTTTTATTTTTTTTCTCTTGTTTTAATATCATTGGGACAATGCTGTAAAAAAAAAAGTTGTATTGTTTTATTACATGCTAAGTATTTTTCCTTGTCATTTTAATTGTATGCATACTATAAAGCAGCGGTTCTCAACCTGTGGGTCGCGACCCCTTTGGGGGTCGAACGACCCTTTCACAGAGGTCGCCTAAGACCATCAGAAAACACATATATAAGTACATATTGTTTCTGTGATTAATCACTATGCTTTAATTATGTTCAATTTGTAACAATGAAATTGGGGGTCACCACAACATGAGGAACTGTATTAAAGGGTCGCGGCATTAGGAAGGTTGGGAACCACTGGTTTAAATTCTCACCCAAGGGCACGTTCTTATTGATCTTTAGAGAGAGAACCTTTTGGTGTATGGGACAGGGCCCTTTTATTTTTTTTAGTGATTTTAGAGATAGGAAGCGGGGGGCGGGGGCAGAGAGAGAGAGAGAAAGGAATATCAAGTTGTTGTTCCACTTATTTGCACATTTATTGGTTGCTTCTTGTATGTGCCCTGACCAAGAGATCGAAGCTGCGACTTTGGCATATCGGGACAATGCTCTAACCAACTGATCTACCCGGCCTAATTCTTTTATTTCTTTGTACACATATAACACATTTATTGAGTTACCTTTAGTAATGCTAATATCTGTAGGCTTTGCAGGTATAATTCTATTGTTTGCTTCTCTGTTTCTCACTCACAGAACTTGTATAACAATTAATAGCTGTGAGCTGATTTTCCTTCGAGCATACTTGAGAAAAATTTTGAGACCTGGGTTTAAAGTGCGTTTTCTAGAGACAGTTTGCATTTACTTCTGTTCAGTGTCTGAAAGCACACCATCTGAGACACTTAATATTTTGGATTTTGGATTTTTTCAAGCTAATCCTCAAACCTGCTTGAATGTAGGCCTATGGTTAGGGTTTCCCAGGGAGACTTGTTTTGGTTTTTTTTCCGTTCAGCCAAAGACAAGGTAGGTGTGACTCCCTTTGATCATCCTCTCCCCCTGCAGAACAGGGACTTTTTTCTGCTTGCACAGTGATGAAGTCCCTTCCAGAGTTCTGGCTTTATCTCCTGGGCCCTGTGCCTGCTGTCCACTGAAGCCCGGACTTTGGGCAAATGCCAACTCCTGCATACTTCTCCCTCTGGATTCCTGCTTTCTCAACATTTCTGGTCTCTGAGGCATTTCCTCACTTCTTACCTGCTCAGAAATGAATTTTAAAAGATTTTTTAAAAAATGTATCCAGCAAGTTTAGGAGTACTGAATGGGGAGGAGTTTCCCTCAGCATCATGTCTGCCATGTGTGACTTTTGCTCAGAGTTCCTTTTCTAAAGAATTGGATTAAGTCTGTTCTGTGAAATAGCTTTCAACCTAATGGACACAGTTTCTTATGGATTCCTGTCTCATAAGCACAAAATAACATTATATTTCTATATCGTACTTTAAGAATATTGCAAGTAATAATGAAATCCTGCTTAGTTCATGGTTATCATTCTTAGAAATTTCTTAATGTTTTGAAATGTTGTCATGATCAAGATAATTGTGTCCTCTTTAACCTTTAGTTAGCAGCATACTTCTCTTTCAACAACTCTAAAGTGAGAATGAAAAGTTACCTTTTTTTATGAGCTGTCTAATCTGCCACTTATCATAATTCCTAATTTATCCCTTTTCTTACTTTCATTTTTTATATGTATTTTTTTATTGATTTCAGAGCGCAAAGAAGAAATAGAAACATCAATGATGAGAGAGAATCACTTATTGACTTCCTCCCGCATGCCCCACACACTGGGCATTGAGCCCACAACTGAGGCATGTGCCCTGACCAAGAATCAAACCATGACCTTCTGGTTCATAGGTCGACACTCGACCACTGAGCCACACCGGCTAGGCTACTTACTTTGTTATAAAAACTTTGTACTTAATGTTAATAGCATTGTTTTTGTTTTGCCCTTTATTGCTTAGGGAAAATATGTCCCCTCTTGAACAAACAGGAATAGTTTAGAATTCAGCTATTTTTTCTTTTGTTCAAAGTCCTCTTGGTGTAGAAATCAAACATTTTATTGAGTGGATGAATCAAGAATACATTATGTTGCATGCTTATTTTTCCCCAACTGGTGAGCTCTGTGTGTGCGTCTGTGTTTTTGGGCTCATACATAATCTAATTGGTTAGAAGTGTTTTTCTAAATGTACTTACTGCAGCAGATATTTCTACTAGTAATAGATAGTTTTCGCCTTATGTTCAAAATGAAACGACCTGTTACTCTATCTTTGTTCTTCCAGGGTAATACCGAGCAACCTGTCCAAACTAGCAAGATTGGACTTGGAAGGAGAGAGTATCAGAGTTTACAACACCGCCATCATTCTCAGCGTTCTAAGTGCCGTCCACCTAAGGGCATGTATTTAACCCAGGAAGATGTGGTAGCTGTTTCCTGTAGTCCCAATGCAGCCAACACTATCCTCAGGCAACTGGACATGGAGTTGATTTCTTTAAAACGCCAGGTATTTTATAGAAGTCATAGTTTTAATGATTCTGTCCATTTTGCTTATTCACTTTACCTAAGTAAACTCAAAATTTTGCATATTTTTCTCGTGACCCATTTACATAAGCTTTGTTCTTTAAAATTTACCTTGTTTCCAAATTGTAAGATACCTCTGTCTATTCTAGGTTTGAATCCCAGCATTGTTACCTGTTAGCTTTGTGATCTTGGGAAATGGTAGAATCTCTGTACGCTTCAATTTTATATCTATGAAATTGGGGATAATAATCATACTTTTCCTACAGGTTGTTGGGAACTATTTGAGATAATGCCTGTAGATTTTTAGCAGGGTTTGGCCATTTGAAGGAATAGTGGCTACTCTCTTCATCCTCCTCATCATCACCAGTAGTAGTACTAGTAATATAAAAGTCTCATCATCATCGGGTAGTGGTTAAGAGTCAGCATCTGGAGTCAGTGAACCTAGGTTCTAACCCTGGTTGCACTCTCTACTTCCCATGTAACTTTAGGAAAGCTGTTCAACTTCTCTTAACTTCAGTTTCCTCATCTTAAAACATGGATAATAATGTGATGGTTGGGATGAACTAAACAAGATAATATATCATAAGTGCCTAAAACGGTGCCTAGCACATACTAAGTACTCAGTGAATGGCTGTTATTTGGCCTCTGGCCTTTCTCAGTCATCTTTTCCCTTTTTTGTTTGTTTCTGTTGTTGTTATTCTTCTAAGACTGTACTTTCTTGGTCTATACCAGCCAACCTTGCACTATATGCCAGTGACTTCTGAATCTACTTCTCAAGCTGTGACTTTCTCCCAAGCTCTGTAGCTGTATTTCCAGCTGCCTGCTAGATATTTCATCTAACCCCCAAATGTTCTCTGTTGAAACATCAGAATCATCTTAGATTCATCCCTTGCCAGTATCACTGCCCCAACACACACAAACCAAGTAGTAACCAAATTATGTGAGTTTTATCTCTGAAATTCCCTTTCAATCAAATCCCTCATTTTTAATCCCATCTCTGCTGCCCTTATGTCCTTTACCCTTCTTGCCTGACAATAACTATCTTGTTGATAACTCCTTGTTTTATTGATAAAAACATTATGATGCCCGGCCATTGTGCCTCAGTGGTTGAGCATCAACCTATGAACCAAGAGGGCATGGTTTGATTCCTTGTCAGAGGATATGCCCAGGTTGCAGGCTCAATCCCCAGGCGGGGGCATGCAGGAGGCAGCTGATCAATGATTCTCTCTCATCATTGATGTTTCTATCTCTCTCCCTCTCCTTTCGTCTCTGAAATCAATAAAAATAAAATACATTATGGTATTGAAAAATATTGATGGATTTTAATTCCTATATATCAGTTATATTTAGTTATAAGAGACATTGTTAAATTACATTCAAATACCATGAGTTGTGAACTATCTCTATTAATCTATTAGATAGATTATATAAGTTGATGTGTATATTAGTTGAATGAGTAGAATATTGCACCCTAAGTTTGATAAGTGTCTATCCTTCTGAAATAAAATCTAAGAGGGTTTGGTACATATCCTTTTCATTTAGTGAGTACTCACCTAAATACGTGTTCTGATTCATATTTTGGGTTATTTTTATTGAAGGTTCAGAATGCTAAGCAAGTAAACAGTGCACTTAAACAGAAAATGGAAGGAGGAATTGAAGAATTCAAACCTCCTGAGGTACGTCATTGAAGAATGTCTGTGACTAACCTTGTTCTTTGAGTGATCCAGTGTTCGGCTACTATTTTGGCCACATGTATTGTTAATACTTTGAAGGTTTAAGGTTTTATAATATGGATAATTTATTGTGTCTATTTTGTGATAGTCTTTTGAGACTTGGCTAATAATTTAAGTTAAATAATTTTTCCTTTCTGCCTTTAGCACTTCCTGTCAAGCAAAGTAATTAGGAAATACAGCTATACAGGTAGGCCCAGTGTATGCAAAACTAGAAAGTCATTGATGAGCAAGCCAGTCCATTTCTGGGTCTGCAGCAGTATTTGCTCAAAGCCCATTTCTGCTTGTGTGAATTGGTAACACAGCAAGAAAAAGATCACCAAATATAGAGTTAATTTTAGCAGATTTCAATTTTAATTTAAGGTATTTGTCTTTTAGCTGAGATGTCCAGTTAGGATTTTAGTATGCAAACTTACATTCTTGTACTTATACCCCTGAGAATATGAAATGTAAAAACAATAAACAGATTGACCATTTTCTCAAATCTTGCTTGTATTTCAACTGAAACTTAATGTTTTTGCTATTTGTGATAATTATAGGCATTAAATTCCCATAAGGTTCAATCAAGTCTTTTTACAGAGCTATTATAAAATCTTTTTTCTCTCTATTTTTTTTAAAGATTACTATGTTATGCTTCATATCCTGGACTTGCCTTTCTGTTTATGTACTAACCAAATAATTTTATTCGGTCCCTAATGGGACATTTCTCCACTCCCCCAACTAAATCGCAGGTCGAAATATCTGAAAATGAGTGTGTGTGAAGGGCTGGGGAGGGGCAAAGCAGAAATGCTTCAGAACCAGTGCACCCTGTGCCATCTTACTCAGTATAGCCTTTCAGAAAACAGACTCAGGAAGAAAGTTGTGTTTGTTTGTTTTGAATAATCTCTTTCAAGGTTAGGAAATGTATAAGAATGAAATATACATAGGCTAATATCTTCCAAACTCAGGTAGACTGACAAACACTCTGGTGACATTTATTTATTTAAAGATAGTGTGATACCAAAAATACTATTGTAATTTTTATATTATTGCAGCAAAAATGCCTATAATATAAAAATATAACTTAATAATTAAATGTAAAATTGCAGCAGGTATTGAAAACATGATGGGATACCATGAAGAACTTTATGCCAATGTGTTTGAAAATTTAAACAAAAGTTAGAAATTCCAAGGAAAATATGTCTTACCAAAATTATCTTGAAAAGGAAGAAAACCTGAATAATTTATAAGCACTAAATAAAAAGAAAGAAAAATTAACATTTTTTTCTCAGAGGAAAATATCAGGCCCAAACACTTTTACAGAAAAAGTCTACCAAATTTTCAAGGAAATGATCATTCCAATCTCAAGCTTTCCAGAAAAGTGCAGGATCATCGCACTCATTAACATTCTATAAAGTAAGATGTACCAGAGTAATAGCACTTACCACTTCCCTATGTGCTACCTCATTTGATGCTCTCAGAAATTCCAAGAAGTAGATGAAGCAAATACTATTATTTTACATGAGGAAGCTGGGCCTCAGAGAGTTTAACTGACTTGATCAAGGTCACATGTCTTATAAATAGTGAACCTTTAGCTATATTTCAGATTCTTAGATTCCATTTGGAGTCATAGATTAATATGCTGCCTCTTACTTTTGAGGTTTTCATGTAACAGCAAAATGCTATAATAGATTCTCCCATTAAATCCATTTATTGGTCTAGAAGTTACTGAACATTTATTACATCTTTTGGTTTATTGTAAAAATAAATCAAAATGAAACAACTACAATCTTTTTTTTTTTTTTTAATTAAATCTTTATTGTTCAGATTATTACATTTGTTCCTCTTTTTTCCCCCCATAATTCCCCTCCTCCCAGTTCCCACCCCACCCCTGCCCTCACTCCCCCCCCACTGTCCTCATCCATAGGTGCACGATTTTTGTCCAGTATCTTCCCGCATCTCCCACACCCCTTTCCCCCCCAAGAATAGTCGGTCCATTCCCTTTCTATGTCCCTGACTCTATTATAATCACCAGTACATTCTGTTCATCAGATTATTTATTCACTTGATTCTTAGATTCACTTGTTGATAGATGCGTATTTGTTGTTCATAATTTGTATCTTTACCTTTTTCTTCCTCTTCCTCTTCTTAAAGGATACCTTTCAGCATTTCATATAATCCTGGTTTGGTGGTGATGAACTCCTTTAGCTTTTCCTTATCTGTGAAGCTCTTTATCTGGCCTTCACTTCTGAATGATAGCTTTGCTGGATAAAGTAATCTTGGTTGTAGGTTCTTGGTATTCATCACTTTGAATATTTCTTGCCATTCCCTTCTGGCCTGCAAAGTTTCTGTTGAGAAATCAGCTGACAGTCGTATGGGTATTCCCTTGTAGATAACTGAGTTTCTTTCTCTTGCTGCTTTTAAGATTCTCTCTTTGTCTTTTGCTCTTGGCATTTTAATGATGATGTGTCTTGGTGTGGTCCTCTTTGGATTCCTTTTGTTTGGAGTTCTCTGCGCTTCTTGGACCTGTAAGTCCATTTCTTTCACCAGGTGGGGGAAGTTTTCTGTCACTATTTCTTCAAATATGTTTTCAATATCTTGCTCTCTGTCATCTTCTGGCACCCCTATAATTCTGATGTTGGTGCGCTTGAAGGTGTCCCAGAGGCTCCTTACACTATCTTCGTATTTTCGGATTCTTTTTTCATTTTGCTTTTCCAGTTGGGTGTTTTTTGCTTCTTCGCATCTTGAATTTTTGACTTGATTCTTATGCTCCTCTGGTCTGCTGTTGGGTGTCTGTATAATATTCTTTATTTCAGTCAGTGTATGCTTAATTTCTAGTTGGTTCTTTATCACAACATCGAGGGCCTCATTAGATTTCTTGAGGATCTCACTACATTTATGGGCGGTCTCACCAGTCTTTTCGAAGGCCTTACTAAGTTTATCGGCTGCTTCTAGACAGTTCTTGAGAGACCTTAAAAGTGTGGTTCTGAACTCTATATCTTCCATTGACCATTTTGTCCTGTTTCTTTGTCTCCGCATTTTGTTATGCTTTCTTGGTGCACCCCCTAGTGGTCTTTGTGAGCAGTCTTTTAGTTAAGCCTGGTGTTGTAGCTAATACCAGGGGGGATTTGGCACAGGCCAAGTGGCTGTGAGAATCAGCTGTGTCTGCAGTGAGAGAACTCCTGTCCTCTAGGGAGGTGCTAATCTCGCCTTTGCCTGAGGCTATCGGGCAAAAGCCTCTGTGCCGGGCCTGGGCGGGGTGGGTCGCACGGGATCAACAGGGCGGGCCGGAGAGAGAGAGCAGTTATGGCGGCGCTCAGTCCTGTCCCGGGGGCTCTGCCTCTCTGAGTCCCAGCAACCGCTGCAAACCTCAGAGAGAAAGCTGCACTCGCTCTGACCGAAGCCAGACAGTCCGCTTCTCCCGTTTGAGTCTGTGCCCCTAAAGACTCGCCCGGATCTGGAGCTCAGAGTCCGCGACTCCCTCCCGATTGAAAACGCCAACCGCGCCCTCCACCGCCGCCCGCTCCGCGCACTCCGCACCTCAGAGTTTGACTTCAGCACTGCGCCTCCTCTGAGTGTCCGAATGCGTTACTCTTTCCTCCTAGTTGTAGGACTTCCACTCAGCCACCGTTCCTGTGGGTCTGGATGATGTCCCTTCCGTCTTTTAGTTTCACTTTTGAAATGGTTGTTCGAGGCGGCAAACTCCGGCGTTAACCTATGCCGCCATCTTGGTTCTCCCGAAACAACTACAATCTTAACTCGCTACCATTTGTACATTAAAGTTTGAATATTACTTTGAGGTTGATTTATTGAACTCATATGACTTGAAAATGCATATATTTTTTATCATCTAGAAAGTTTTATCAACATATATTTATTATATTATTCCTACTGTTTTTCAGGGGAGATCACATTGAATAGATACACATATTTCAGAATACTAGGTTTACAGTCATAGTAAAGACCTTGAAAAATCATGTAATCTATCACCTAATCTAAGAATTTCTAACCTAAAGAAGTTCACTAACTTTTGGAACAATAGGCTACTAAGTGATATAAGTCAACTGGAAGTAAACAGTTTCTAAAATGCTTTACTTACTCATTTGGTTGTTTGTTTGTTTTTTCGGAGCTTGTTTAAAATAGTTTTTTATTTTTTATTTTTTTTGTTTTATTTTTTTGTTTGTTTTGTTTTTTTAATTTATTTTTTAATTTTTTATTACAAAGGGTATTACATATGTGTCCATTTTTTTCCCCCGCCCTAGACAGTCCCCTAGCCTCCCCTATTGGTTGTATTTATTTTTATTTAGGGAAAATTTTGATGAAGATAGTCCATATTTCGATAAATGTATATTGATCACTTATTTCATGTAAAGCACTGTGTTAGGCACTGTGGGAAGTGTGTGTTTCGGAAAAGGGGGGACCCATAAAAATGAGGAAGAGATGGATTATTTTTTGCTCCTTTTCTCCATCTGCCTTTAAAAAAAAGAACTTGCAGTCTAGAAACTGATTGGAGTTGTATGATACATTTATAAGTGAAGTGTTAACAAGGAAAACAAGTGGTCATTATTCATTCTACCTGGGATCATCAGGGAATTCTTCCCAGAGGGGGCTGTTTCAGCTGAGGTTTGAAGGATAAGTGGGATTTCTGTACATACAAAAAGGACAGGCACAGGGACTCATGAACAGTGTTTTGGTGTTGAGCAGTACATTCAAAATATAGATCCAGTGGAAGAAAATAAATGCATTTTAAAAAACTGATCAACAGGTATTCTCTGAACACTTATTATGTGCTCCTTATTGTACTAGTAACTATTGAGAATTCACCAACCCATGTAAATCAGTCTTTTCTCAAATAGTGTACTGTCTACTTAGGAAGGCACACTTGGATTCAGAGGGCCAATGACCACCAGGTATGAGAGAGATTAACAAGGTAGAGCTGACAGGGACTTCTTTATGATAGAGATCAGCGGGTAAGGACTAGAGAACACAAGTCCTTGTGTGACCTAGGAAGAGACGTCTGTCTTTTAAATTAAGTCAAATGGAAACACCTTCTAGTTCCTTCAATATAGGAAGGAAGTAATGAAAATTTTTAATTTTAGGGAAGCTGTCCTGTCAGTATTATACAGGATAATTTAAAAACTTTGCAGCTTCTAAAATACCAGGCATATGAGTGATAAAGTAAATGGTAAAGGGGCACCGGGTAGGGCCAGGTATTAGTTGTAGAAATGGACAGCAAGTGATAAATCCAAAGACCATTGCAAGTAGAAATGAGTGTATTTCCTTGAAGGTACATGGGAGTGATGGCATGTTTGGTTATGCTTTGATTTGTTGTGGGTGGAGGTAGGTGGAGGCAAGGACGTTAATTAATCCGGGAAGCAAGAAACTGAGAAAGGAATGCTTTTTGAAGCGAGAAATTCCCCCATCTGTGGATGTTTCCATGCCTGGGTTGGTGACATTCTTTCATATGGATGTTGTATGGAATTTTTGGCCTTGCGTGGAGGGTTTGACTTGGTGACCTTTTCTAACTCGTCCCACTCAGAGGTGTTACAAATCCACTACTGACAAAAATGGGACAGATATAAAGACAAAGTAAGTTAGCAGGGGTAAAGATGCTGAATATAGGACTAAACTATTGTGTACGCACAACTGTAAACCTACTTTTGCCCACCCTATATTAGATTGTTTTGTTTTATATTAACATTTTATTATTTTAAAAACAATGGTATTTCAGACTGGGGTTGCTGTAGAATGTTCTCAGTGGTACCATCCAGCTAATCACACCTACCACACAGTTTCAGATTCCTAAATATATAAACTAATCTTTACCAAAGTTTCTTGGGTTTAAAAGGGAATATAAAAATCGGTGACTGAAAAGAATCCTATGTATTTAAATTTTTTTACTCCTTTTCTCCTTCAGTCTGACCCCTCTTCCGTTGCTTCCATTTTGTTACACCTACACTGTTTAATTCCTTAACCATTTCAACTCCTTCCTCCCCTCCCCTCCCTGCATTTTTCTACTGAGGTTTCTTCTTAAAGGTTAGTTAACATTGGTTGGTGCTAATGACCAGTTTCCACAGCTCTAACTCCTTGTTTCCTTTGCATTTTTCTGAGCCCTGGACATAGATGTCAACCTCTCTTTTTTCTTTAACTTTTGAGAGGTTATGTTCTCTTTTATAACTATTATGTCTCAGCTGTATTATCCTTTCTATACATAAATGTAGACATTCTCCAAGTTTTTATCCTCAGAGTTCATTTCTCTCTCTTCTCATTAAAAATACCAATCTTATCACTTGATATGTACATTTAAATGACACAATTGAAGGACAGATATTCTGCTAATAAAACAAAGAACATTTAGTCATTGCAAACGTGGTAAAACTGGCCATTCTGCCTGAACTCCATTTATCAAGTGTATGCCCCTGAGTGAGCAGCTACGAGGCTGGGAAGTGTGAGCCCACTGTCCCTTTAGTCAGTGTTAACTTCCACATGCCTCCTGTGTGAGTATGTCCTTGAACTTAGTGAGATTGTAGTATTATAATATGTGTTCATCTTTTTCATTCAGTACTACCCTAAATTCACGCCAAAGGCTTCGTCTGGGATTTAACTAAAAAACGAGTGGCCCATCCCGATGCTGGAAGAACACCTAACGCTTTGGGCCTGTGTGCCCATCCCCATGGCTGCCTTTGTGAGAACATTTCAAAAGTAAATTTGACAAAACTTTCTAAAATGTATAGGCTGATTTTAGAACCTCACATCTGAGTAAGATTTGACTCCATTATTTTCCCTCATGAGCATTTGAGTAGATGCATCTCTGTTAGCTTCAAGTGGAGCCAGAGCTCCACCTGGATATCATGGTCAACGTATCTTACGTTGAATTCATCATCTTAGCCTTCCTCCCCCATTTCCCAGATCAGTGTTTCTCACGACCTTTCCTGAGTTAACTCCAGTTCTTATCTATCCCCCCCATCGTATCAGCATACAGCTTGATTACTTTCTTGCTCACACAGTGCAAATGCAGAACAAAACAAAATGAAGTTATAAATCTTGCAAAAGATGCAAAACTTCATGAAGTCTATGAAAATAGAAGAGAATGGCTTTCATCACTTGCAACATTATTGACAGATGGGTATCTAACAAAATTAACAATTGAAGGAAAAAGGATGGCCACTCACAGATAAGCATTTCAAAAAAAGATAATTTGATTACCAAAAACCAAGAGGCCCTTGAGAAATTGTTGAAGTCTTCAAAACCAAGATAACCCATTCTATGCTCATATTATGAATTTCAAAGCTGGGGGGTATTACTATTAAATAGTCAGAGAAGATATGCCAAAAATAAATAGAATGAAACATGTAAGTTAAGGCCATTATTGTATTTTTAATGAACTAATTTTTATAAGTTTTCATTTCATATTCACATTAAATTGCAATCAATCTTTTATGATTTTAACCATTTACTTTGACATATTTGGGCCTGTTTTAAATAGGTTCCAGAATCAATTATCCTTGGGCACCAAGGACCTCTTTTATCTACCTTTCACAGCCAGGCTAACGTTAGATTGCCTGGGGAGCGTATGTTTAATTTTTCTAGTTTTTCCTCTATCATCTTTTTCTTTATTTCTTTTCACTTCTCTAGCCTTAATTAACCATTTCCTTAGTACTGCCTCTGTGTGCCCCATTCCCTCTCTTTTCTCCTTACCTTTTTACTGTTGTTCTTCGCTTCATTGCCAGTATCCTAACGTCGAGCATTACCCACTGTCTGCCTGGCTTGCTTGCTTTTCGGTTTTAGTCTCATCATCTGGAATTCAGTGTTTTCTTTAGTTTTTCCCCTCCCTTTCTCTAAGTCCTGTTTTACTTTTTCTTCTCTAATAATTTTTTTAAATTTTCAATTTTTGTTTTATTCTTTCTTCTGAATGCTTACTTATACCTCTTCACACGTGGTGAGGGAGTTGGTGTTACTCAGACCATGTGTGCTCTGTAGAAACTCTTATTGCTGAGACCATGAGTAAGATAAAACCTAATCACCCCTTCTCAGAGGAAGCCTTTCTGTTTTGCCAGCATGCCCCTGTATCACATGAGGGCACTTTTCCTGGGCAGTTTTTACGGCAAACCTCTGGAGGCTGGTGTGCTTACGTCTGTTCCTCCATTAACTGCCAATGGTCCTTGATTACTAACGGGTATACACCAGTGAAATTCGATCGGTTGTTTAACATTGAATATTGCCATAATAAAAATCCTAAACATGGGATTTTTTTGAAACAAAAATATTGAGAGGAATATGGAAGGCCTTGGGGGAAATATTCTTAGAGTGGGTCACTTTCTGCTTCAGAAATGTTTTAGGGCTTAAGCCTGATCTACAGTTCTGTGTTAATTTATACAACACTATTTTTTTGAAATTGTCACAGGAGAGTGCCCACAGGATAATGGCAGCCTTCTCTTTAGCCTCTAAAGCACAACGCAGTCATTTCATAAACAAAAATACTAGATTATAGGTAATGTAATCTAAGTGTGAAGAGAAGAAATTTTAGAAAAAGTCACAGATTTCATCTAAAGAAAAAACAAAGTCTCTTAAATGTTTAAAATGAGGCTGAAATTAACATGTGCAGTGAGTGATAGGAACATTGTAGTTGGAAAATGAGTGAATATTTTGGCCTGTTTTAAATAGGTTTTCTGACGAGAGTATAAATGTGAATGTTGTTCATTCTCCCAAACTGATACATTTCTCTTTCATTATCTTTTTGTGGGGGTAAAAGGTAACTCAGAATATATATAAATTCTTATAAAAGTGAAATCTTCCAAAATCAGAGTTTTAGTAATCTGATGTCTGTGATTTGGTGAAAAGTTTTTTTAAAAAGTACGTAAGCACTTTGGAAAAATGTCTGTCTTCATATCCTCATTAGGAAACTTTTCTTTAATTTTGTAGTCAAATCAGAAAATTAATGCCCGTTGGACCACAGAGGAGCAGCTTCTAGCAGTGCAAGGTATATTAAAGATAAGCAGTTCTTGTTGTTAATAATTACTGAACTTGTCATGAAAGGTGACCACCGTAGTTCTTCTTGCCTTTAGAAATGGGTCGAGAAAGGGCTCTTGTGTTAACCACAAAGTCCTGGTGACCAGGGATTCTGTTCTGTCCGTGTGAATATGACATACTGAGCCTCTGTGCATTTCGAGTCCTGAACAGTGTGTAACTCGTTATCAGAACTAAAAAAGTGATGGTGCTGTCAGGCTTGCACAGTCGTGTGGTCTCTCTGCCTCTGCTTTGGTATTCCTCAGTTGGGTTCATTCTTACCATATCAGTCATTGATAACGTGGTTAAAAGCTTGAATAAACTAGTATGTGTTTCTGGTTTCTCTGTATAATAGTGTATCTATTTGATAAATGTCAGGTATTGAAAATATTAATGGTGTGCTTTATTCTCAGTGTATTTATTATGCCTTAAGAGATGTGCCACTGAATGCTTAGAAACCTGACTTTAAAAATGTATAGATATTACAAGAGATATATCAAAAATATACATTTAGCATTTTTAATGCACTACAGTATTTATAAGAGTGCTTTGTTGAATTCTATGGCAGAACATTTTTTGTATGAGAAATACTGTTGGGCAAATTGGAAGCATTATAAACTTGGATTTTTCTCGTGTTTGAATTACTTAAAGAAGGGCAAATTGCATATTTTTATTCAATGTTGTAGATTTTTTTTTCTCCCTTCAGAATAAACTATCTGGAGGACTGATTGTGTAATTTTAAGTTTGGCCTGCAATCTGTTCCTTCATAGCTGATCCCTCTTTTGTTGAGGACTTATAGCTATTTTATCTAGGTTCACTACTGTAAGAGAATTGAGCCCAGGGAAACATACAAGTATACCTTTAAAAATATTTCCAAATATTCAAACATAGAGAATATATTTAACTCAAAAATACTATGCAAGCACCATTCAGATGTGAGAATAATGGAATTAAAGATTGATTAATAGATGGCTCTGCAGTTTGTATTAGAGTGAATAACTACCAAGTCAGTGTGATTTGAAATTGTCACAGGAGAGTGCCCACAGGATAATGGCAGCCTTCTCTTTGGCCTCTAAAGCACCACACAGTCATTTCATAAATAAAATGCTTGACCCTGTGGAAGCAGGGTACTGGATGTGCACTGAGCACATCTATATTGTAGAACTATGTTTCTGAATGAGCCAGAACAAAGGTTAATTGATTTATAATGTTCATTAATTGTTTTAAAATTACAAACTAGCGATTTAAAAATCAGTATTTTTCATGGCATCTTCAGATTATTTAGAACTATGACTTATAGCTCTAACATAGTTATTTGAGTAGGCATTGCTTTTATTGACGTAAAGCCTGTGTTTCCCTCCATCGCAGTCTGTAGCCTATAGAATTTAACCCTGGTTTCCAGTATTCAGTTGCTTAAAGGTTAGTATATTAATCCTATTCTCTAGTATAAGAAATTATCCCAGTGAGAGAATTTTCTGAAGAGAATCACCAAGGAAAATCTGGGCTAATGTTTCTCTATACTGCCCTCAGGATTTATAACTGTTCTTACAGCACTAAGGGATAGAGTCTGATGAATCTTATGGCTGGGTTGGACATTATGCAAAGCTGCATTCCAGGGAAGGGACAATCCCAAGATTTACATGTATAGTGTGAATTACATGTGTGGTCATTACCGCAGCTTATAAATATTAAAGAGTGGAGCATTTCTAGATATAATCAAACATTTCCTCTCCACTGAGCTATATTCAGTATTATATTATTATGCTATCTAAAAAGTAACCCTAAACAAATTACACTAGGTCAGCAATTTATACAGAAATATGCATGTTCTTGGGATTTCAAAAGTACTTTATTAATATGTCAATGTCTTTGTTTTTATTTATTTGATTCTGTGTGGAATTTTTGTTTTCATTTTTTGTTATTGTTGTCAGTTTTGTTATTATTGTTACATAAAATAAGACAATGTAAAGCTATTTGTTTCCAAGATAGTTATTTGAGGGAGAATTAAAAAGTGCCATGTTTGCCTCATATGTTCACACATTTATATAATGTATCTTATAAACAATATAATTATATAGTAATGTCACCTATACCTGAGTTTCAGTGTGGTTAAGGTACATAATTGCAGTTTTTATTTTAACATGGACAGTTTGCTATCAAGAACTATTTATCTTAGCAGGCAATTGTTTTTTTGTATTTTTCTTTTTAATCTTTATTTATGATAAACCTTTATATGATGTTATTATGTGGCTATTTCAATTTTATTATGTTTTGATAGTAACATGTTTTAATTTACATAGCATTTATATTTAAGACATTTTGCATAGATATTCGGATTTAACGCTCATTTGCTAAATGCTTTATTTTACCGTGCTCCTAGTTGACTATTACGGTGGCCTGGAGAGAGAAATACTGACTCGCTCTAGTGTCATTAGTGTGATTTGTCACTCTACTATTAAGTAAACTTTTGTTGTAACTCTTTTAAAGCTAACTAAATATATTAAGATGATTTCCTAGAACCTAGGAATATATATTTCCCAATTTATTTGCCATTATATTGTTAACTAAATACTAATGATTTAAATACTAAATATTTGAGTATATTGATATTATTTTAATAATATTTAAATAAATAATAAATCGTGTACCCTTTTTTCTCCCTTATTTAGAAGAAAAATTCATGCTCAGACAAAATAGGAATGTGTATTTATCCTTGTGTAATCTATAACTTTATTACATTAGTTTCAGTTTTTGCTATGTTATAACTTCAATACATTCTTCAAGAGTCCCCAAGTGGGATTTTATAAATGCTGATGATTTAATCCTCTTAAAATACTTGCCAAGAATGCTCTTTGTTCAACTTCTGTAATCTGTTTCAGCCTTAAGTACCTAAAATTTCTATTATAACAAATTAGTTAACAGTGAAGCCAATTATAGTCTTCACATATTTGTTAATGGTGAAATATCTCTGTTTTTAGTTTGTATCATATAAATATTTTTTCTAATTTATAATGCTCTTAGAGATTATACTAAAATCAATTTTGATATTCATATGATGGACATTTCTTATTAAGCAAGAATTAGGAAAGGCTGGTGTGTGATGAAGGGGGAAGATGGTGGGAAAAGGGAGCATCTATAATACTTTCAAGTAAAGATAAATTTTAAAAAGAATTAGGAAAGAAAATAGATTCTAGGTGTGTGGGGTTTTTTTCAAGTAAATTGAACAATTATTAACTCTGTTAAAAATAACTTATAAAGAGTAATAACATTTACTCTTTAGAATACATAGAGGCAGAAGCGTGGTATACAATATTTGCCATTTTTATTTTAGATCTCCTCTTAAATGTGCAATATTTATTTTGTAGTCATTAGTGTTAAAAAATATGTTCCTCAACTAAAATACTTGTGCTTTTTAAGATAAAAAACTTTTTCCAGTTTTATCAAGATGTCAATTTTTAATTTTTAGTTAACTTTTTGTATTATCAGCCTTCTCATATAGAACAAGAAATAACAGGACTATGTTCAAGGGGATTATGCTTACAGTTCAGTGTTACCTTCTCTCCCTGTAGTTCATACATTCATTTTGTTTTAGGAGAAATAAAGTTGCAAATCTAGAACTTGTCTTCTTTCTCATCTTATCCCCTACTTTTTTAAAAAGCTAGAATCATGCCTAAAGAAGGAAAAAAAGATTGGGCAGTTGGTTAACACATAAGGATTGTTGTGACCGACCTGGTACATAAACAATGAAAAGGAAGTGGAAATAGGAGATTCCTACCTTTTTAACTAAAAGACAAGCCATATGAGTTTGTTCTATTATAACAGATATAAGAATGGAGATCAAAAAGTGTTGTCAGCCCTCTGCTGCACTTGCTTCAAATAATTAATGATTCAAATTAATTGTTTATGGAATTTAATGTTTAACTATGGAAGATGGGAATGTAAAACTCAGAAGAGAAGGGCTAGACATTAGAAAAGAGAATGTATGATTTTGACTTTGAGCTCTGGCCTAGATGCATCAGTCACTGTCCTGTTGCAATTGGTAGCTTTTCTACCTTCCTTTAATACATACCCTTGAAGGGATTTTTAGGAGGTAGAAAGTAATGAATATTTTCAAATAGTTTGAGTTTAAAAATCTCTAACTGATAGGAAAGAACCACACCCTTGGAGTTTCTAGGTGTTACTGTGGTTTTTTTTCAAGATAACATTTTTTAAAAATTGAGATTTCCTAATTACACAAGTACATGCTCACTTTAAGAAATTTTGCTATAAGAAGCAGGAAAAAATATCCCCCAAAATTCCACTCCTTAGAAGCAGTTTGCCTCTGTAATGTTTTTGCTTTTTTTCTTTGTAATCCACAATCAATTTTTTAAACTTTTTAAGTATACCAAAAACAGGTTCCTGGTATCCTTTCTATATAAGAAAAAAAGAGTCTGTAATTCCATGTCCAGAATTGGGAAACACCATATCACAGATGTTCCTGAAGTTACTATCTTACAAGCTAAAGCTCAAAAAATATGAATGTATTTTCTTGGATAATAGAGAATACTGATTGAAAATGTGGGCTTTCATAGAATTTAATGATAATATAGTATCCTAATGAGTTTCATTTTTATGTTAATTCCCCAAACAAAACTTTAAAGGTATATATATGAAAGGTTATAAGGTATCTGCCAGATAGAAGGCCAAGCGTTTTCATTTTAACTTTCAAATTAAATTTAGAAATTTGACTGAAAACAATTTTTTTCTCTCCCTGAGAAATGTATAATTTACCTCTTCCAGGGGTCTCTCAAGTTTTATTCCAGTAATCTTTGAAAGCTGGCCTCTTGCCCTCAAGGTGAGAAGTTTTATTTAAAACCATGGTTCCAATGGACCTCAGCCTTTTACATCTTCAGGGAGAGAGAGGTTTAGTCACTGCATTTAATTTCCTTGCTGATGAAGCAGGCAGGCGGCCTTGTTCATTGTGACCTGAAGAAAAGACGGCCCACCCTGACCCAAGAACAGATTGGAACTAAGGGAGCTCTGATGTCATATGTTGTTCGAGTCAGTTGCTCGGCACTGCTGCTCCCGCCAGGTCATCTAGGAGCTTCGCTGGGGATTTTTCTCAAGGAGCAATTAAGTCTTTAATTGGCATTTTATTAGAGTTTGCTAGTTACCAGCCACTGTCGAACTTAAGAATTCCACCTCATAGCCATCAGCCACTGTATAGAGCTTAAGAATTTCTCCTTATGGCCAAAATAGGCTGTTGAGAAGGGTTATTAGGATTGTGAAGGTGACAGAGAAGTCAGCTATATGTGACTCTAGTGGTTTGGGGAAGAAAAGTAGAATGAAGCCTCATAGGGAAGAGAAGTCAGTCATGGTTCCTGAGCACTTCCCGTGGACTCAGCATTGTAGTGATGCTGGGGCTGGCGTGTATTCCGTAGGACCGTAATTCCCAACCTTTGACATTGTGGCCAACAGAAAATTAGGAAATTTGTCACAGCATACTGGGGCAAACAGACGAGGCTGCAAACAGGAGACTGTCACGGAACTGTAGCCCATGCCCACACCCTGTGCAGGCATCCTGCAGACTGAGGGCCTTAATATCTGGGCCCATTTGTTCTCAGGACATGATTGGGGCCCTTAGCTAGACCACAGCAGTCTGCAGTATGGTCTGAGCCTTAACATTTTGCAAAATAGTTCATATAAGATTGTCATACATGAGTTAATAGTAGACACACCGAGGTGACTTGGAAAAAGTTCTTGACATCGAAAATGTCTGGGAAAACTAAAGCTCCTATAGGAAGCAGCTTTGGTTTGGTGGTCTATAATTCTGGAAATGCAACAATATTGTGATAAGGTAAAGTCCATTGAACAAGAGAAAATAAAGTGGAAGATCAAAAAGAATAGAGTCAGAAGAAGCGGGGACAGTTATATAAAGGAGTCTATCTGGAAATAGCTTAATGGTAGGTTTTGGAATATATTTTGCTTAGCAAATAGGTGTTCTGAGGGCTGTAATATCTCCAGACTCAGAGTCCACGTTTGTCTTAATGTGATTTCTTGCTAGGAATACAGATCTAATCCAGATTTATTTAAGGTTTTCGTTTCTAAACTCATGTATTCGATAAGGTTCGGGCATTTCTAGAATGTAAGTTAAATGTCTTTTATGAAAATTAAGAAACTGCATTGGATTTCTGATTCATAGTTATTTTTCAGTGCAGTGATCTCAAATGACTTGTTGTTTTCCAAAGTATATGTAGTAGAGAAATACTTAAATATATAGCAGTAATTCCTAATATGAAATTACCTTGAATTTTTATTGCCATATAAACCCTCAGTAGAACCTAGTTGCCATTAGAATTTATACTCAGTATGAAGTTCCAATTGGAAATTAGCTCATGAATTTTAAGAGAATATAAATTAATTTACATTGCTAAAATATTGTAAACAGTGTTTGAATATCATTACTACTATGTTGTCATGCATATGTTGTCTGTCCTATTCCTTTGAGAATGGAACAAATGAGCATAGTTTACATACCTCAAATTCTATATTAAAAATGGGATATGGTTATAGCTTAATAATGTCAGACTTCCCCCCAAATGCTCTAAGAGTCAAGCCTCACTGGTCGAGTGTAGCAAGAGATACTTATTCTCAAGTTCTTAGTATAAAATAAGGGCAGAATTTAAAAACAAAAATTATGTCCTATCACATTGGTGCTTTAAGGTAATTGGGTAATGCCAATAGGTACCAGTAAGAATATATCTATTTCTGCTGGGGTCTTAACGTATCCTTATATTATTCTCTCATCTGTGATTGTATACATGTTGCTCATTTCAATCCCCATATTTTTGGCTGCTTCCAGACTATATTATAAGCATCAGTATTTTTTTTCTCCATTCTCATCTCTGTGATTAATGAGTTATTGTTCTCTGGTACTTTAAAAAGCAGTTTTCAAATTATAAAATCAAAAATTTTGACAACTTTTGTATTTTGAGCTAAGTGCATCTGTTTCAAGAATAAGTCAGTGACCCTCTCTTAGAATTTCCTGAAAAGCAAATTATTAGCCATCTGATTATATAAAGTCATTTTTAAATTATTCCATAGCATAATTGACTATCTCAAGTTCATAAATATTATCCTTCATAATGTAATTTAATAAAATGTCCATAATGAAAAGTTAGGTTCTCAAATGACTGAATGTGCAGTCCTTAAATTGGAGGTAGTGATGAGAAGCACAAGTGCTCTCCAAGTAGTTGCTGCTGTAACCTTATCCTTACGTCTAGAAGGCATAGCTAAGTCTCCTTCATAGACACAGTCTTTAGAACTATTACATGAGTTGACATTCAATTAACTGAAAAATACCTCCCCTTTTTTTCATTTGTCAGATTGTGATGATTCTCTTGCTTGTTAATTCTTATCTCATTTCTACTTGTTGGTACCCTGGTGAGATAGCAAGTAATCATTAAATTTGGTATTAAGACCAAAATTATAATGCTTTTCTTAATGGGGGAACCCTAAGACTACTCACTCATTCCATTGAGGGGATAAAAGAGATGGCTCATTCCCATCCTGTCTTGTTTACAAACGGTGTTGCTCAAATTTAGGTGACTGGCTACTAGGGAAATAAATGAATATGGAATTGAGGATGGAACAAAGAATTCAATGCTTTACAATAAATGGACTGTATTTGAGAGTTCAAGAGAGGATTGGAGAAAATAACTGAGTATGTAAAAAATGGTAAGTTTCTGATTGTTCAGTTGAAGGCAAGTGGCTGGCTCGATGAAATGACATAATTGATTGTTTTCATCTGGGACCCTGATATCTTAGCCTCTATCTTAGAACTGAGAAATGAGCAGAGTTTGTCAGAAAGGATTTTCATTGCTGGTATCTTGTGTGTGTGCATGATGTATAGTACACACAGCTCTCCTTATTGATCCTTCACCAGGTGTATTATTTACTTTGCCTTCCAGGTGTCCGCAAATATGGTAAAGATTTTCAAGCTATTGCAGATGTAATTGGCAACAAGACTGTTGGCCAAGTGAAGAACTTCTTTGTAAACTACAGGCGTCGGTTTAACTTAGAGGAGGTATTGCAGGAGTGGGAAGCAGAACAAGGAACCCAGGCTTCTAATGGTGATGCTTCTACTTTAGGGGAGGAGACAAAAAGTGCTTCTAATGTGCCATCAGGGAAGAGCACTGATGAAGAAGAGGAGGTGTGTTTGTGTATGGAATTTGAGCTAATATGAGTCGAGGAATCACCATGTTGTGTGGTGGTCTGTAAGGTTAATTGGTCAGAGGACGAGCTAAATGAGCATGAAAGGTTGACAATACACTTACTCAGTGGTGCATCTCTCGTGACTCTTAAGTCATAATGACATGCTAAGATCTGATCCTAGAAGAATGGAGAGTGTATTGTTCTTTCATAGTCTTATTTTTATTTCCAGTGTTAAGCTATTTACTAATAAAGATGCCTGTTTGGTAGCTTCGTTGCTTTTTCAGTTTGGGGTTTTTTTGTTTTGTTTTGTTTAAAATAAAAGAAGCTTGTGCTTCCAAAATATACTGGTGTTATGTTTTTGTTTTGTTTTGATTTGTTTTGTTTTTCCTGTGACAGCCCAAACTATATTGTATTAAGCTCCTTAGGAACGATCATCTCATACATGTATTTTTGTTTCCTCACCTCTAGGCACAGACCCCACAGGCTCCTCGGACTCTGGGTCCATCACCTCCTGCCCCACCATCCACTCCAACACCAACAGCCCCCATTGCCACTCTGAACCAGCCTCCACCACTTCTTCGTCCAACACTGCCTGCTGCCCCTGCTCTTCACCGGCAGCCTCCTCCGCTCCAGCAGCAGGCTCGGTTCATCCAGCCTCGGCCAACTCTAAATCAGCCTCCACCACCTCTCATTCGCCCTGCTAACTCTATGCCACCCCGTCTAAACCCAAGACCAGTGTTGTCCACAGTTGGTGGTCAGCAGCCACCATCACTTATTGGAATTCAGACAGACTCACAGTCCTCACTGCACTAAAATTAAGTTGGACAGAGCTGCAGTAACTTTTCCCACACCATATACCAATGCTCATCTGACCAGCAAGAACGAGGAAAGACTAATCCTTCCTAGATACTGAGGCTGGAACTGAGGCAGTGGGCTAGCGTAGTGGATGTCTAAGAAATTTTTTAGTTCACACAACTGAGATGTTGTATAAGAAAAAGCCTACAGTTAGGCTCCTTTCTAGAGTATATATTCAGCAACATGCTCTCATAAAAGGAAAAAAAAAAAGATTAAGTATTCTGTATACCAAGGGGTTTTTGTTTTTACTGTATTTATTTTATTGAGATTTCTTTATATTCCTGCCTCTTCATAGTCAAGGCTCTTAGTACAAGAATATTGACATAGGAATTGTGAAAACTCCTTAAGTTTCTCAAGATAAGGATGTTTGACTTTTTTTTTCTTTAATTTAATTTTAACATTTTCCTATGTTAGGAGTGTAAGAATAAGTAGCCTGCATTTCATATTTTGGCATATGTTCATTTAATGCATATTTAAGAAATTATAGCTGCATATCCCTTTTTAAAAAAATAAAATCTTGCTTTCTTTTCTAAAGGAATATTAATATGTTCCTTTCAAAGAAAGCAATTTAATCAATTGCAAAGCAATTATATGAAACCAGAAAGAATGTACTGAACCTACTAACCATTTAAAATGAGCTTAGGGTCCTAGTGCAAAGTCCTTGCTTAAAGGTCATTGACCTGTCATCTATCAGTAAGAAGAGGATCAGAGTAATAATTCATACGAATGAGGAATTAATTTGTTAAAGGACAATGTCTTTAAGTTCCTTGAAAATGAAGTTAATTTTGATTTTTTTTTTAATGTTTCTAAATGCTGTCTGCTTTTAACTAGTAGTTGCCTACATCTAGGGATGTTAGAAGCGAATTATATTTTGTCAGTTATGTGGAGATAGTGGTAATGGAAGCATTTATTACAATACCCTTTTTGTGTTTAGGTTCTGAACTTAAAACTGCCCTCACACTTAATATGGTCTGCATTTAATATAAATGATGGTTTCTTGATAAATCTCTATTGTACTATTTGGATACATTTGTGTATTTCTTGTAGCCAACGTGTATGACTGGGTTTGGTTTAGGATTAAATCATCAACATTATTTTATAAAATAAATTTAAGGATTTGTTTTGTGTTATCTAAAGATATATCCGTATATTGTCACAATTGTGCTGTTAACTTAAAATGCTGAGACCCCTTTTTATAAAGAAACAAAAAAACATTTCAGGTCTTCTTAATTCAACACATAATCATTAAGCACTTACAAAGAATATTTTAAAAGTGATAGTATTTCAACAATGTGTTACTAATATTTTTGATATGATGATTTCATATTGGAATCATGACTTGTGCAAAGGGACAGATTGCTATACTAGTGGAACATAAGGCTAAATGTTTGCACATTCACATTCTCATCATATTTAGAGCTACTTCACAAAATGGTCAACATCCGAGGGCCTAATTTATTATTTGAGGGGTCGTATATTCCCAAATTATTGGGAAGATAGTCCCTATCATTGGCTCTAAAGCAGTGGTTCTCAACCTTCTGGCCCTTTAAATACAGTTCCTCATGTCGTGACCCAACCATAAAATTATTTTCGTTGCTACTTCATAACTGTAATGTTGCTACTGTTATGAATCGTAATGTAAATATCTGATATGCAGGATGGTCAGAGGAAGATAAATATCACATGATCTCATTTATGGAATATAATGAACAACATAATCACTCTTATCACCCCTGTGAAAGAGTCGTTCAACCGCCATAGGGGTCGCGACCCACAGGTTGAGAACCGCTGCTCTAAAGTCTTAAAGAGCTCTAGATTCAAGCCCATTAATTAGTTTTAATTTTGACATTTAGACCACTTATTTCCATTAAGGACCTTAAGTTCTGGCATAATCAAAAACTTTTTCCAGGATGTGTCTGTCATTCTCATTGGATCAACTTAAATAGTTCTTCCCCTGGACTGTAACCAGATAAAATCTAATTTAAAATATTTAATATTCAAGAATTTATACTTATTTTTACTTTAAGAGCCATGGGGACAAAAGATATCTAAAGCTTCAAGTATTTAGATTGTCTTGCATATGTGCATACTATACAGCTTTTATTGTCTTGTCTTGTCAGTAGGCCTTCAGTATGCAATATGTGGCATATGTCAGTCAAGTTGGTCAGCCCCAGCATCTGTCCAGCTGTTAAGTATATTGTGATTCATTTAAAATCTGTTCTATCCCAGCCACAGGCCAAAGTGCTGTATCTGAGGGATGTGCTGTGATTTGATTTATGTACACTAGAGCACACAGTGGAAAAAATCTTAGCTTCATTAGTAATATGACACATGTACATAGTGAGATGTCTTTATTGTGTGCTTTGCATATTTTGTAAATATTTTGCACGTCATTCTTTTTCTTTTTTGTTTAAGCAGTGTTTGGCCTGGAAGAGTGATATGCTTGCTGCTTAATCAAAGGATTAAAGAGTTAAAGATGTCTATGTCTTCTATTTTTATATAATTTCATGTTGTATGAGGAATTTGGGACCTCTTCACTGTGAAATCCTAAATATTTTATAAAAATAGCCAAACCTAGAAATCTTTTAATGACCATGTGATTAATTTCAAGGTTATCATTTTTGAAAAATCACCCAACTATTTTTTTCATTGCACAACTAAAAATAAATCACAGTATTGATGCATCTGGTAATATTAATGAAAAAATATTTTTTCTATAATTCAAATTTAGTATGGGTAGATGTAAAGGTAAATTATGATCAAAACTTTTTCTTAATCCTACAATTAAGTGAGTAAAATGATGAAAGAATATAAAATTCTATCTTAATAGAAATATGTGTACGGAACAAGCAAAAATTTAATGATTTTCAAAAATATTAATGTTGCAAATACTTTGGTTACAGGGCCAAGTTTAGTTAATAAATATGTTGTATTTTAATGTTTCTTCCTGCTACCCAAAGGATATATTACCCATAAATGTCAATAACTGCTGATCACTTAACACGGGTCTTATCTGATCACTTATCAGGTCTCCTCAAAGAGAATAATATGACTTACAATTCAAATCAGGATCTTTCTCTTTGTGCTTCCCCAAAATGAATAATGAATACATTCTGATTACAGGAAATGTAAGAAAGAGAAACGTGCATTAGTTTTTTTAAGTTAGTAATCTGTTATAGATACTCATAAGAAGGTATCAATAAGTGAACACAGGAAGAATCTAATAATGAAGTTTGAGGAACCATGCTATATAATAAAATGTCTTTAGGAAACTTTATTTTTCTAACAGCATTTATGGGAATACATAAACAGTTTTCTCTTAAGAAAAATAGGTCACATGTAACTCCTCCCAACTTAAATTTTTATCATAACTTTAATTGCCTTAGTGAAGGAATAACTTTTAGTAAAAACAGTTTGGGAATAAAATGAATCGGGTTCCTGCTTCCTGGTATTCAGCCCTTGTGTGTGGGCTAGACTTAGTGACTTGATTCTGACCAATAGAATACAGCAAAGGTGATGGAATGCCTGTGGTTAGGTTAAAAGATTATGACTTTTGTGGATAGATTTTCCATTGTCTTTGCTTGCATGCCTGATGAAGCAAACTGCAATGTTAGGTCCATGTAGCAAGGGTAGGAGGCCAGTTCCCTACCAATGACCAGCAAAGAACTCGCGTCCTTCAAATAACAACCAGGAACTAAATCCTGCCAACAACGGCGTGCTTAGAAACAGGTTCTTCCCCATTTGGGCCTTACGATGACTAGAGAGCCAACACCTCAACTGCAGGCTACGAGAGACTGTGAAGCAGAGAGCTCAGCTAAGCTGAGGTCAGATTTCTTAACACCACAGACACTATGAAGTAACGAGTGTTTGGAGTAAGTTTGGGGGTAATTGGTCAAGACAGCCTCTTCAATAAATGGTGTTGGGAAAATTGGACAGATACATGCAAAAAAATGAAACGAGACCACCAACTTACACCATACACAAAAATAAACTCAAAATGGATAAAGGACTTAAACATAAGATGGGAAACCATAAAAATACTAGAGGAATCCACAGGCAGCAAAATCTCAGACA